GGACAAAAAGATGAGATAAGCCCGTGGCCTGTGGCTGCGCCGTCTAAACAACATGAATGGCTGCTCATTCCTCTCTGGGTATGTACGCCATAAAACCAGGGTCGTAATCTTTTATGACAGGATGCAAAGGTCTCTTTGCAAACAGCAAAAGAACTCGGAATAAAGCCCAGCAGGCCTGATCTGTACCCTTCAGTCATCATAATCCTGACCTCATCCGTCACATGTCACCCTGGGTCACAATACTGGAGCTCCGCTTTATTGCCCCGCACTTCCCTCGGCCTGCTCATCCCCCTGCAGCCTTTTTGTATTTCTGCGTCCGACCCAGGAAGCTTCCTATTCTTGTGGACGGCACAGTGTTTCTTTCATTATTTTGTCACCAGGAGCTGTGTCCTCCCAGCGCTGGGATCCCTGCCTACCGGAGCCCTGGACGGTTTACATATTGACAGATTCTATTGCAAAAACACAGCACACTTGGATTAAAACCATTTTAGAGACGTCATCAAAGGATTCTGTATTAATCAAAAGCTCACACCATGGTGAATAATGGTGTAAAGGTCAACAGGGAAAGATATTTTATTCACACCATAAATAAAATTGAACAGGATTTATTTTGTAGATGCGAGTTAGAAATCATTACCTTTCCTGTGAGAACAGAAGGAAACTCTGTGTCAAATTTGTTGCTTAGTCCAAACCTGCAAACAGATTTAAAAAAAATGATGTTATGATTATGGGGAAAAGATATTGAAGGTCATTTCTGCCACATAACACAAATATCATGCATTTGTAAACAAGAGATACTTTGATATAATAATGATAAAAAGTTAAAATTATTACATTAAAATAATGAACTAGTCAATTATGACAATAAGTCAAAATTATGACGTCATAATAAATAATACAATTACACTAAGTCATAGTTATGACAAAAAGTTTAAAATTGAAATTATGAGATAAATTCAAAACTGTGGCATGAACAGTCAATTGACTATGTGATAATGACCTTTTATCTCATAATTATGACGTAATGTCACAATTGAGATTTTTTTTATCTCATAATTACTCGTTTACCAAAGCATGATTTTTTTCTTATGTGGTTGATTACCTTCCAAACAAAGGCTTGATGTGTCATGATGGGAAAAAAGATCGCTTTAATTTCAGTTAGATGTAAATGTCATTAAAGACTTGACAAGCAACACACAGACACAACAAAGTGAGAGAGTTCAGTTTCTAAATGTAACTTGAATTGCCAGGAAATCTGAAGACTGTTTAAGAGTCTTGTGATGTCTGTTTGTAATCCATTGCAGTAGGCTCTGCTGTCCCATGTAGAAATATCACATTGTTTACCTCATGAAATAATAAAGTAACTCAAACTTAGCTCTACTAGTCAAGGTGGTGATTGAACTTCAGAAGAGGTACTAGTACTGTCCCAAGAAAGTATTGCATTAATTAAAATATTATCTCTCAAGTTTACCTCAGCATACGTACAGTACAGTTACCAAACAACTTCAAATTAAAGCGAAGGTCCTAACGAGTTTGATTGTGGTTGCGGGGCAGCCTTTATCCTCGGCCAGCAATAAAACCATAAATCTCTGAGCTAACAACAAGGCTTCGGGTTAGGAGGGCTGATTCTTCCGCTTAAAATCACAGTCAGGATACAGCTGGAGAAGCTCGGCTCACGTGTATTTTGATACCACAACTTAGCGACGAAAACGTGCAGTGAGCTTAGCATGGAGGCTACAAACACAGACATGAGCTAACAGCGGTGCTGCCGCACTCATACGCTTACACGGTGATGTGACCAGCCCCACGCATGACCACAGGGTCGGGACAGTATCTGACGAGATGTTCTTCACTCACAATTCTCTCCTCTTCTTCTTCTAACTCATAAATGGTATCAAAGTCCGCCATGTTGGGCAGCAGGACGCTCATGACGTCACGCCCCTGGCACTGCGCACGAATACATTACGCTTCTTCAATATATATCTTTTTCAACAAACAGTGAGTGAAGTGAGGAACTTGAGCGCAAAATGTTGATTGGTTATCAATTTCAAATGTTGAAATTAAGTAGGTAGGCTATTTGAGCTGCTGATTTTTTTCTATGAGCTGCTCAACCTTACTAGGGACTTGTCTACAGAATGTTTATGACCCCGAATTGTTTCTAGCAATAAACAATAAATAAAATGACAACTAAATAGACACAATTTTTAAAACAACACAGTGCGTAGTATATAGCACATATAATCAATTCAATAGATTATAACAAAATTATTGTAGGCTATTGTAGCCAGTGTTGGGGGTAACGCATTACAAGTAACGCAAGTTACGTAATCAGATTACTTTTTTCAAGTAACTAGTAAAGTAACGCATTACTTTTTAATTTACAAGAGAATATCTGAGTTACTTTTTCAAATAAGTAACGCAAGTTACTTTTTTTTCCAATTTATTGATTGACAGCTCTCCTGTCCCCATGTTGAGAGAAATCAGATGATGTTACTGTAGTTCTAAAATAAATATGAATATGCATTAATTCATCTCGCTCACAAAAATAAAATCAGATTCAGTATTCCTCAAAATGATTAAAAATAATGCAACTCAGAATATGACGCAAACCTGCCATAATTAAATGTTAAACAACACAAATATGCTTTATGTATTTAATCCCATTCTATTAACCAATGTCTTTGCTTCTGACCTTCGATGATCCAGTTTAACCGTATTAATAAGCACAAATTGTCTTGAAAGTGCCTTTTTTTATTGCTGAAGTGTGTTGAAATTTCTTCTTCTGCATTCTACTGTACGGACGTAAATGTACTTTCCCTTCAGCCTGAGGCTTATTCATTTCACTTTTGGTGTGAAAAGGCTTTTATATTTGCCAAAAATATAACTTTTTTATTTTAAAAACAAACAAGCAAGCCCTGTCCAGATTTAAAAAGTAGCGCAAAAGTAACGTAACGCATTACTTTCCATAAAAAGTAACTAAGTACCGTAATTAGTTACTTTTTTATGGAGTAACGCAATATTGTAATTCATTACTTCTAAAAGTAACTTTCCCCAACACTGATTGTAGCTACTTCTCAGGTACTGTCAAGTTGGTAAAGGTAGGCCAAAATCCTTATTTTGATGTGTTTACCAGACATTTGATATTTTGGGTTAATTGGATGTTAGATACAGTAATATTTTGTTGTAATAGAACATAAAACAACAAGCCTCACATAAAAGGGATTAAGTGTCTCTAAATGCTTTAAATGAATAAAGTCATGGGACACCTATAATAGGATTTGTGGAATGTGCCATTTAAAGATAAATGCAGTGAAATCAGTTTTCTTAAGTGCTGTAATTAAACTGTTGATTTGTTTCAATTGAAATTAAATAATAAATAGGCCTACACGCATGTTACAACATAAAAGTGCTTATGTCACACTGATGACGTGGTGTTTAGCTGAGAGATGCACTTTGCAAACTGTTAAGAAATTAAGTATTTAAACAGATTTCCCTCGCAAATGTAGGTTATTCTATGAAGAAAATATAAAGGTTCCTGACAGACATTTGTTTATTTGTGAATCATTTTTCAAGATTTAATGACAGACTTACAGCTGTTCCCACAATTTAGTTTTGAGCCATTGTTCGTAACTTTTTTTCTTTTCTACATTTGATATTTTGGGTTAATTGGATGTTAGATACAGTAATATTTTGTTGTAATAGAACATAAAACAACAAGCCTCACATAAAAGGGATTAAGTGTCTCTAAATGCTTTAAATGAATAAAGTCATGGGACACCTATAATAGGATTTGTGGAATGTGCCATTTAAAGATAAATGCAGTGAAATCAGTTTTCTTAAGTGCTGTAATTAAACTGTTGATTTGTTTCAATTGAAATTAAATAATAAATAGGCCTACACGCATGTTACAACATAAAAGTGCTTATGTCACACTGATGACGTGGTGTTTAGCTGAGAGATGCACTTTGCAAACTGTTAAGAAATGAAGTATTTAAACAGATTTCCCTCGCAAATGTAGGCTATTCTATGAAGAAAATATAAAGGTTCCTGACAGACATTTGTTTATTTGTGAATCATTTTTCAAGATTTAATGACAGACTTACAGCTGTTCCCACAATTTAGTTTTGAGCCATTGTTCGTAACTTTTTTTCTTTTCTTTTTTTTGGGGGGAAAATCGTTAACTTAAAAGTAAATGCTGCTTATGGTACAACAATATATGACGCCGAAATAAGACATTTTTGTTGCTCTAATCATCCTATTTCAATATAGGCTACTGCATTTGTACAGAAACACGTTATAGCCTAGGCCTAGTTATATAACTTTACAAATTAAGTTGTTCAGCCTTCATTTGAAAAACGAGCCCAAATGCAATTTGTACGTTTACAGAGTGGTCTCACGTTTAAAAGGTAAATTAAAGGTGAATGCCTAAAGCTGATGAACACAATATTTAATTCGTTTAAGTTTAATAATAGGCTATATCAAGACACGAAAAAAAACTATTGCAAAACTTTTTTATTTACACATTGTTGGAATCAAACGTTATACCCATATTAGGAATGTGACACCTGCACATCACCCCTGTGAAAAGAAAGTGAAGGACGTGCGCTTTGGACGCAAACTGGAGCATAAAACAGCCTGCCATCGCAGGTCATTGGCTTACACAGATAATAAAAGTTTAACAGTTCTAGGGTAAGGATCATTATACATCCCGAGAAACGCTGTACCTGTAGTTTCATTTTATTTACAAACATTTAGATACACTCACCACATACAGAAAATGACATTTATATCTTAATTGAGCAAACACAAACAAACCATTAAAATATTTAGTCTCTGGATCAGACGAACAAAGGTTTTTGTATGTTTTTTTTTCTTAATTTTAAAAACTATTCTATTAAAACGATATTTGAAGAGCCTCCAGCATTTCGTTGCATTTAAGACGTGATTCTTCTGTGGTAATCCACAACACGCGCCTTGATGCCTGTCATGTAAGTTTGTAATCCGTTTTGGCCACGCGAGCGGTCCGCTTCGGTTCAGTCCTTTCAGCGTGTTGGAGTGCTCAGTTAAAGTTGGATCTTTCAAGTTCGAGTTCACTGAGTGACAGTAACTTGCTGTATGTTCCTCATAGATGGCAAGGCGCTCATTCCTGGGGGTGGGTACAGAGAACCGTGTATGTCTGACGGACTCAGTGACCCTGGTACCGGTAGGGGACTGACAGAACCGGGATCGCTATGGACTGATCCTCCGCTGCCGTCAGACTGACCCAGTTTCTTTTTGATTAATTTCCTTTCCTTAGCTCTGCGGTTCTGAAACCAGATCTTTACCTGTGAAGACAAAAGTCAAACGGTTATAGAAAGAAACAAGTCTAATTTTCAACTAGTGAGATAGCCTAAATCTAAGTCTATAAGTAAAAATCTAAAGTGAAGTCATTTTTACCTGTCTTTCTGAAAGCCCGAGGTTTACTGCCAATTCTGATTTTCTTCTGATTGTGATGTAGCGATTAAAATGAAATTCTTTCTCCAGCTCCAACCTCTGATGGTCTGTGTACACAACTCGATATTTCTCCTTCGTTCTCGTTTTGCCTAAGAAATGGGAAATGAACGAATAAGTATGAAAACTATGCTGATCAAATGAAGACATTCGTCATAAAACACACTGGATAAGAGATTATCATTATGAAATTAAACGTTGTGAGTAAAATGTGTAATACTGTTATTAATAATAGCTTTTTAAGGCAGAGGAAGAACTTGTGCATTGTATAATTTCTACAGGTTATATTTAAATTATTCTTATCATATTGACTTTCTTCTCTTACATTTATGTTGCATTTAAAATCACTAGGCCTATATGATCTCTAATTTTAACTGTAAATCATAACGCCACTGAAATATTCAGTCAATTGCATAAACTAAGATTACATTGCTAGATATGCAAATTGAGCTTCTGATCTTCTTTGAGGAGATTTTTTGAACAAACTGCAGAACAAAGAGACGCAAAGGCATTACCCAAACGCCACTGATGTGTTAAGAGACACACGTCTTACAAAGAATTACAAGGAGATAACATCAAAAATATTTTCCTCAAACCAAGAGCAGGCTGGACTTGTTTTTTATGTACAGACCAGCTATAAATTTCTATGTAGCCTATACGACTAAGAACGCAACTGACTATAGTTTTTTTTAATTATAATTAAAAGTTTCGATGCAATCACTATGGAAAGCTCTAACATCTAATGTTAAATGTGACCCTTTGACTTCACATGCCATTTCCAAAACTTTCAGTTTTTCAGCGGTAGAAATGAAAAAGGCCGTTTACAGTTAGGTCATGTAACTTTGTAAGTGATTTTTTTTCTTGAAAATGTTTTCGCTGTGTCGTTTTAACATGCGCCGGAGACAGGAGAACTTCATGTGCTGTGAAATGTGTCACTCTTTGAGGTAATATAACCCTCAAGAACAGAGACAGAGGAAGACGCGCTGCTGCATATCAAAGTGAACAAGGTGTTGAAAGAAGTCGCAGCCTGAATATGACAGATAACCCTCAAAACCTGAGACAATGTAACAGGAAAAGTAGACCTCACATCTTGTTTACGGGAGTCGCAAATTAGCATTACAAGTGACCCTGGCGCCAATTCCCAACACCTTCATTTTGCCACAACTATTTGTCCCATGCGTAAAGGAACAAATGCATTAATAGAACTCAGATATTCCGTTTTTTTTATTTTTAACAGAACGTTTTCCGCAAATAATGACGGTTACGTAAAGTTAGTGTGCGTAAAACTATTCAATTTTCCCAGGTCTCACTATTTCGTAATATTTAGTCAGATGTGCCACTCCTTGAGGCAAATACCAAACAAAATGTATACGTTTTTCACAAGATTTGCCATTGTGCAAATTATTTGTCCAATATTAATCCAAAATAATACAAAGCATCTGTTTAGATTTTCAAGTTTTTGCTTCGATTTTGTGCACATATATTTTTTTCGAATTATTTTTGTATTAAAAACCTTTTACATTCGAGTACAACCTACGCAAACTGGGTGCATGACTTAAATTATGTCATTTTTATTCTGCTGCTTCGCGAAATTAGATCATAAGCGTGAACTACTGTCATTTTGAACGTTTCGATCGCTGATTTTAAGACCTTTAAATTATTGCGCAGTTTGCATGTTTTAAGATTACTTCATAAATATTGAAACGCTTTCTCTATTATGCCACATATTTCAAATTCTTAGCAAGCTTTTATTTGTGATTATTTAGGTCTTTTTTTGAAAGACATTTGTTGGCCTTACCGGTTGAGGAGGACTGCACGGTTTTGCTCATCCACTGATAGGAACTGCGTCTTTCTCTCTCAGGTGAAAGCTGGCCCACAGAAATGTTTTCAGGTGGTGGAGGCAGCACTGCTGATCCCGGGCCGTGCATGGCATTATAATCTGAAGAGCAGTAGGAAACTTGTCCCGGGGATGAACTGCTCATAGGAGCAGAAATAGTGTTTGGAGGACCCAGGCTGTAGGCGCCCCAGTCCTCTCTCGGTGCGCCGTAAGGAGGGCCCCATGTCCCCGCTGACTGCGCGTGTGTGTCCACGTTGGGCACATGATGGTATCCTGTAAAATCTGAATACTGAGGTGTGGAAACAAAATTCTGTGGTGGAAGACTGATGCCAGATCTTCGCACGGCTCCTTGGTGATACATGCTTCCCTCTTTATCCAAAAGGTATCCAACGTACATGATTTGAAAGAAACCCCTAAAATAACTTTTTTAAGGCAACATGCCAGCCATACATCAAGCCAAGTATCACTCAAAACCAAGGCCTGACTCAGTACTGTTTATCTCAAGTGTAGTAGTCCAAAATGGGCTCCAGGTCACGCGACGTAGTCCTGGACGTGCTTCAATCAAACATGATGTGACTGTGTTGTCAAGGTGGTGGAGGCAAAGGTATAACCAAGCCCTCCTGACGTCAGCCACGACTTCAAAACCTGTCGATTTGCATTCAAATGACCAGCCAATAACACCACCAAACCCTCAAAGATTCCCCTAGCGCCAGATTTTCGCATCACCTCAGACTTGCATGCACCCAAAACCACTTCTTCTCAACAGTATTCAATAGGCGTACAGACTCACTCTAGATGACTTAAGGAATCAGCACATTACACTGTGAAAAAGATTCAGTTCAAAAAAACGTCTCTCCTCAAAAAAGCCCATTTGAAAGGAGTTTTGTTAGATCTGTCTCAGTTTGACTTAAAAAAAAAAAAAGCTCAAACAAACTTTTATAACAACTCATAACTTGTATTTTATTAATACAAATCATTTATTTGATTATAAATGTGTTTATTTTGTTCATATAAATTATAATAGGCTGTATATTATTTGAATTTCATTTACACAAGCGAAAACAACAACAGCAATGACATCTTTTTATTATATATTTTATTGTTAAAAAAAGTGTTCATCATAAAAGTGAAATGAGCTGTGACGATCATTCAGCGATGAATGGTCGCTTGAAGTTTTACTGCCCTTCCTTTTCTCTCTAATGGAACTAAACCTGTGGATATGGGAACGCCACATCTGCATAGTACCCATGCCACTTTCTCGCCTTCAGAGTCCATGCGTATTTGTTAAAGGATACTCTTGTAAAAGAGGTGCAAAGCGGGAGAAGGTGTCTTGAAGTAAGGCGAACTTTTCACATTGATTATCCCTCACACCACGACACTCTCGGGTCACACTTCACAGCTAATTCCGCTTTATGGAAATGTGAGGTATCACCTACAGTACCCATGCGACGACAATGTGTCGTGCGTGTCGCCATGTAGTCGAAATATTTAACGAGCTGTTAATTCATTTTACTGCGAGGTTTCTGGGGTATTTTAATCATTAACATATGCAGACAGTAGCTTGTTCAGACCTGACTGTCTTGTCTCAGATGTTAGGGCAGAAAGGACAGTACATTTCACCTGAAAATATGTGTGTTTGGACTTTATTTACTATAAATTACTTAATTTATAGATTTATAAATTCATTCATTTACTATACAAAAAATTATATATATATATATATATATATATATATATATATATATATATATATATATATATATACATGAAATATGAAAAAATGTGTTTTATATACTGCTGTTTTCCAAAATTGGCGATTTGAGCTTTTGTCAGTTCATTTAAAAAGTATTTTGCTCTCACGAAAGCATTTTTCAAAAATAGAATTACTTTGTAAAGCCTTTCGAATAATAATACACTGTCATAAAATGCATGTATGTTAATTTTACAATTGATAATAATGTTTTAAATCATTTGAAATCATCGATTTTGTTTAGCAAAAACAGGACATTGACACATTTTCAATCATTTTCAAGAAGTCTGTGTCTCATCTTTATTCAAGTCTTTATAAAGTGATATACTGTAACTGAACTGATGACTAAATTAATTTTAGTTTACTGTTTGTTCACTAAACTTTTGAAAAACAAACAGCTGATCATGATTTTCATCATAGATCATCACATGTCTGTATGATACAGTGAACTATGCAAAAGTAGGAGAGTTTTTGGCAGATTTGTGATGATAAAACCTTTATGCATTCAGTCGTTTTTATGCTACAACCCTCATAACATAATTATGTCAAAACAATATTTAATGTGATTTCTCTGTGATAATGATTGACCTTTGAACATAGTAAAGAACTGCATTTCCCTGTTTCAGGATGAATAAGTATAGGTGCAGTGCGATTGATCATCAAAACAGCGCTTCAAAGTTTATAACAAATGTATTTGCTATAGTTTCAATACTGTAACATCATATTTAAAGCAGTTTTCTTCAACAACAAAAAAAAGTGATAAAAAACAATTAAGATGCTATCAAATTAAATTTATACCCCTACTGGAAAAATCAGGTCATCAGCTTAAGCTGTTTTTTTAAAAGTCCGAGGTGGTCTACCAGCTTATAGCCTGGTTAAGGTCTACTAGGTTGATCTCGACCCCACCAGAGTCCAGCTAATCCATGTTCTAGCTTGAACCACAATAGAGGTTCTAATGGCCTCATGTCTGTGCTAGTGTATAGCTATAATCAGGATATTTGGAAATATGCAGGCTTTAACTGTTGTATGACCTGATTCATGTTAGCTTGACTGATCCATCAGAACAGGTTTCTTTGGGTGACTGATATCATTTATAAAAGCATGTAAGCCTATCCGATCAGTTAGTTGCAAGCAAGAACACATCACTACGATGATGTCAGGCAAATGAAAGCATTTCAGAAGGTCAAAGACCCTTGTGGAAAAAAGTACCAATGGCTGCTACAGTTATTTTTCTCTAATATTGAATAATTGATGTATTTGTTCGACTATTGCTAAATTCACACCATAGGTAGTAGGCTAAATGAGCCTGGGGTTAAACTTTTACTTTTTGTTAGATAATTTCCACAGACCGTTTCAGTGCTACTCCAAACAATTCGCCAAAATGTGGCCTTCAGCCTATGTAAATGATGGTCATATACGATATGTATAGGCTTATATGTTGTACTATACAGTGTTGGGGAAAGTTACTTTTAAAAGTAATGCATTACGATATTGCGTTACTCCCTAAAAAAGTAACTAATTACGTTACTTAGTTACTTTTTATGGAAAGTAATGCGTTACATTACTTTTGCGTTACTTTCGCGTTACTTTTTAAATATGAGCAGGGCTTGATTGTTTTTAATATAAGAAGTTCTATTTATAGCAAATGTAAAAGCCCTTTCACACCAAAAAATGTAATGAATAAACCTCAGGCTGAATGAAAAGTAAATTCACGGCTGTACAGTAGAACGCAGGAGTAGAAACACTCTTCAGCAATAAAAAACAATGAAGCACAATTGTTAGTTTCTCTAAAGTCATTTTTGCTTATTAGTATGGTTGAACTGGATCATCAAAGGTCAGCAGCAAATATATTGGTTAATAAAATGGGATTAGATTCATTTGTGTTATTTAACATATTTAATTATTGCAGGTTTGCGTCATATTCTGAGTTTGCATTTCACTGTTTTAATTCATTTTGATGAATACTAAATCTGTTTTTTGTGAGTGGGATGAATTAATTCACATTTAGTCTAGAACTACACAGTACAGTAGTTCACACAGCGCACACAACTCCTTCAGCACACACACTACTTCTGATTTCTCCCAATATGGGGACAGGAGACTTGTCAGTCAATAAATGGGAAAACAAAGTAACTGGAGTTACCTTTTTGAAAAAGTAACTCAGATATTTTCTTGTAAATTAAAAAAGTAATGCGTTACTTTACTAGTTACTTGAAAAAAGTAATCTGATTACGTAACTCGCATTAATTGTAATGTGTTACCCCCAACACTGTTGCTGAATATGTGTTCATAATATATCCTACCATAAGAATCCGAAGGCCAGACCTGGGTTTTGTGAGCACACTCGTTGCTGATGCAGGTGTACGCAATAAAGAAAGAAGATTGTCTTGGAGACTCAAAGCACAGCGCAGCGACGCCCCCTGCTGGCCAATCAGCTGCAACAGCGACTTAAAACGTAGTTTCGACGGACACCTTTTTATGACACATTTATAGTACAACACGTTATTTTTACATTTTTTCCTTTTTTAATGAAATGAAGAATGATCTTGGGATTTCGTTATAAATTGATCAGCACCATTACAGAATGACCTCTAGAGGGCAGTATCCACCATGTCATTTGTTTGCGTCGCTTCTTCGGATCACTGAACATCACATTTCTGTGAATTTCTGTGAATTACTTGCAATGATGTATTTCAAAAAAGGGAAAAGGCTCTGTTTGTGCACAGTTTTTATAATGGAAAGGATTCAGTTATGTTCTGTGTAAAGGAAGAATGCGTTATCTGAGGGCAGAGATGCTCTCAGCATAACAGATTTACAACTTACTTGGAAACTTCAAAATAATGACATGTGTGTCCCAAATGTATGATGGTTTGGGGACAGATTGTACTCAAAATAGTTGAAATTATGAATCATATGTTTTCTCTTTTTATTTCCACATTGAGAATTAGGTCATAATACTGTTCATAAGAATATTGCTACATTTATATTTACTAGGAAGTCGAGTTTAAATGTTTTTTTTTGGAACTATGTGCTATTTCAGAAATGTTAGACGTAGCCTAATCATTACACAATGTTTGCTTTTCTCACAGAGACTTTATTGCAGTCATTCCCTAGGTTTTAATTCTCCTGTGTGAAATCTGAAATGAATAAATGTCATGAGAAGTTTTGTTGAAGAATATCCTCAAACTTTTATTTTTAAAATACTATGGCTACAAATTTCTGTATCCAACGAATTCCAAAACAAAACAGTGCTCTAAGACAAGTGTATCTGAAAGAAGAGCAGTGGCATAAATGTTCATATATTCATGGAAAGACTATGAAGGCAGTATGGATGGATATTACTGGTGAGATCTTAGTTGTTTGGTCCAAATTGACTTTTTTTGGGGGTTCTGTCAGATACAACCACAGACCCCCATCAGTTGAGTTCATTCTGAAAGCTTTTCCCACTTTACCAACATTTGCAACAGTTTTGAATGACCATTCATCATTTATGAGTTCATAATCAGTAATCCCATCTTGTTTTTCTTTACAACATAAACCTGGAGAATATTTAGTTATCCTGTCAAGTAGCATACAGTATCTTTTAGACGGTCTTTGGTTCAGTGCTTGGGCAGTTTTGAGTCCAGAGTTCCCATAGATCAGATATTTCTGAATTGTTTTCAATGACAGAATTCTTGACAGATTATAAACAGTTCATTTTTAGTCACTGGAACCCTGTGGGGACAAAAAGAATTGACTTTGATATGAAGGCCAAAGTCTAAGACAACTATTTTTAAGACAAACAGTCTGTGTTATTTAGTCAGAACTCTGACTCAGCCCTTGGGCATCATGGGAGTTTATTAAAATATTTGATGCTATTTGTATTTTTGGTGCTACCTTTCTGGGAAAAGGTGGGCAAAAGCCATATCTGTGGTAAGTGAAGTCCACCCCATTGTCTCAGGCTGTAGGTGAGAGGTATACGGATGCGGTCCCCCCCCCCCCCCCCCCCCCCCCCCCCCCCCCCCCCCCC